TAGTATGCTTATTTTAATAACTAATAGTTTTTCAGAGGCAAACAATAGATACTAGCAAGTTTTTGACAAAATGCAACTTGTTTAAAAAATATGTATTATTAATAATTAATAATTAATTTGTAATTATATTTTCTGAGACTTTTTAACATACTATGGCACACCTTATGGACTATTGGATTACAAATTTATGTATTGATTCCATAATCACTTTTCTCAAAATAGTCTCATTAAACACATTGTGAACCCAAGCATACATTTCTCTAATTAATGCATAACCTATAGTTCATAACCTAATACTGTATATGAATTTTGAGATAGGTGATTATGGAATCAATCCAATCATATAAATTATAATTTTGTAGATCCTTATAAACATGGTGATAACAATTATCTTGACTTATCATTCAGTAATTTAATGTTTGTTTTAATGGTCTAATATTATAATTGATCTACCATTACTACCATTAATGTAGTTTTTAGAAATGTTTTATTATTTTATTTCAATCTACTTCATTGAGGCAAATCTGATGGATCATTGGACTAAAAATATTTTCATGAAAACTAATTTTGTAAAATACCTACAATATAGTACTTCTAACAATAACATAGAGTATTTTGATTTAACATGGACGAATTTAAAATTTGCTTTCTATATCTTGATAAATGGATCAATAATCATCCCTGTTGCGTATTTTATGGAAATATGTCATTATTTTCAGATAAATTATATTAATCGTATTTTTGATTTAACATGGACGAATTTAAAATTTGCTTTCTATATCTTGATAAATGGATCAATAATCATCCCTGTTGCGTATTTTATGGAAATATGTCATTATTTTCAGATAAATTATATTAATCGTAAAGCTTTTTAAAAACATTCAATTTGTATACAATTACTTTATTACTTAATTTTTGTTTAAATTCAATATTTAAAAATTTATGTTAAAAATAATTTACATACAAAAAACAATATCTATTTTATATATTAAATTTTAAAAAATATTTGTTTAATTAATAATTCATTAATATGTATAGTACTTATATGAATTAATCGTATATTTTTGTGTTATACAATACTAGTACCGTACTACATTCAATTGAAAATTTTATAATAGTAGAATTTATTTTTAAAATTATATATAAATGTACATTTTTAACATAATAAAATTGCTTATAAAAATTGAAAGTATTTGAATAATTTTTTTTCTTTTGTTAATCAAATATGTATTTCATAAAAATACTATTTATTCAAAATATGTGAATCTATACAATTCAGTTTATTGATAAATGACTTTCTAAAAATACTGTTAGCACTTTGTATTAAAATAATGCATTCATTTAAAAACATATTTTCATTTAGTTTAAGTTTATATGGAGCAAAACATGGTATAACCAGTTAAGTATTTTTGAATGTAAAGCGTTGCTAGTAGTTGATTAAAACTTAAATATCGGATTTATTATAGAATTTTATATTTAAATTTAGTTTATAAGTATATTTTTAATTAAATATTAATTTTATAAAAACATTTATAGCATAAAATTAAATAAAACTATTGGTTTTACTCAAATTCGGATAATCTATTCTATGGTTTGTGCTTCAATTACAGTTTACATTTTCTAATACTTAGCTGACTATAGCACAATCTCCCCCATATGTACTGCATAAACGTTTAGGAAAAATGTATAATATTTATTAATATTAATATATTATATTTTACTCTTTTATAAAGATTTTCATATACTGTAATCATATCTAAAATGTATTATTTTGCTTTAAGTAATTTTTACTCATTATTATTAGTAGACTTGCTATTGACATATACAATGCAATGAATTAAAATGGAATATTTTATTGTAATATTAGAAATAAATTATTTAACATTATAATTTATAGAAATATCATAAAATATATTTTATTAAAATTTAATAAAATATATTATATAAGCAATTTATTTTTTCCAATAATATTTACATAAATTTTTTTTGATATTTATTAAAAAAACTACATTATTCAAATGTTATACAGTATATTAATGTTGCCTATCATTTTAATAGAAACAGCTTTTTATTCAGCAAAATATTTAAATAAATTATAATAGTATTAAACGATTAATTTATATTTTGAATTTATTATACACATTTATATTAGCCATGTCTGATTTAAACGGCAAGCATCTCAAATTAGCAACCACACATGTATTTAATATCTGAATACCAAATATACATGTAGATAATTTTAAAAATACTATTTTATATATAAAGGTACCACCACATGTTATGCTGAAATACAATGATAACACAAAACGGTATGAATTGAATGGAGGTATCGATGGTATGCTATTTAAGACTATCGCCGATCATTTCAATATGACATATGAAATGATTGATAATAACGGTGTTTGGGGCGTAAGACCTACTAATAACACGTGGCCCGGTGTCATAGGTCAACTGCAAACAAAGGTAAACTTTTCAAAATTTAATTTATACCTGTCAGGGTAATACTACGTTTAATAAAATTTATTTTTTATGTAGGTAGCAGACATTGCTGTACGCATAACATTAACAATACCCCGGCAGTCGGTTATTGATTTTACTTATCCATATGATCTTGATAGATTTGTATTCACATCTCCAATGCCTACGAAAAAATATTTTAATAATCTATTGCAACCTTTTGATACATACATATGGATGTCCATTATAATTTCCATTTTATTTATAGTATTCATATTATTAGTTGTTAATAGAAGTACTAGCTTTATAAATATGTTTTGGACTGTATTTGTAATATATTTGCAACAAAATTGTTCAAGAATGTCTGGTAGCAATATATTAGTGATATCCACCTTGCTATTAATGGTGGTTGTATTAGACGCGTTATATTTAGGGCTAATTTATTCATTAATTAAGGTTCCCATTGAACACAGAATAGAAAATATATACGATTTGATTGACGATCATATAAATGGTAATATTAAAATTGTGGTTGTTAATGGGTCTATACATCAATTTATGCTAGTAAGTATACTCATGTTAGTACTCTTGTTAAATATGATAAATTAATGTAATATAGCAAGTACAGTTAGAAAGCTTTGACTACTACTCTTTATACTTAAATTATATAAAATTCATAGAAATATAATATATTGTATTATAAACTAATATTACAAACTATTTACAATCAATTTTATGAATTAACACTAATTTAATATGTTTGATTAAATAATTTTTGATTATTTATCAGGATAAAATAAATGAAGAGCTTGGTGGTAACTTAATTAAATTCATCAAAGTAAAATATCAGTTTTTATTTGACTATTTAAAACGTGATGATGATAGATACTCGGTGGTCGCTGTCAGAGATGTATTATTTTATAAAATTTTCAAACAAAATATAACTAAACATTATGTGGCAATTAATTCACATTTGACATTTTACCACATTGGTATTGTGAATTAAAATATTATAACATTTAAATTCAAGAGAAATTTAAGAATTTTAAAAATATTGTAATTCAAATCCATAATAAAAATTGATGTACACTATTTTTACACTATTTTAACAATTATTTTTGATATTTGTACACTATTTGAAAAATCAGAGTTGGTCAGTCTGATCCGCATCGAGCTTTAATCTTGTATAAGGATTATAGGTGCACATATAACGTGTACATATGTCTTAATATAATATATAGTGAATTATTTATATTATTTAATACAACAAAATTTTAATTTTGAAAATTGGTTTTTCAAATAATGTTTTTTAAATTATTTTAATTGCCTCTTATTTAACACATAATTTTTTGTCAATGCGAAATTGTTTGCAAATATTTGTTTTATTTTATTAGTTTGCTTAACATTTATTGCAAACATGTGTAGCTTTCCAAACAGACCCTGGGAAAAATTCATGACCATAATCAATGAGATCCCAAACCAAAGACCAAGCATACTTCCCATATAACACAGGTATTCCTCGATGATATCGTAATGATATTTGTTACATAAAATACTTTATTTACTGATAATCAGTAGTACACTAATAAATTATGTCTGCATAAATTCAAATTATTTATTTATATTAGGTTTCGCACAAAGTTTTGCGAGGTAGATTTTGCAGCTTAAAAATTAATTTCTCAACAACCAATATTAGTATCAAAAATATTTTTGAACCTCAACTATGGTTTTTGCTTTTATGTATTCTTCCGAAGAGAATACTTGATTAGAGCACCTGTAGCTCCGCACAGGTAGCTTTTATGTACAGCAAAAACTATAAGGCCTAGAAAGAAAAGCAACACACCGTTGGAAAGAGCATAAAAAATAATCGAACCCGTCTATCGGGATTTCCCTGGTAAATTGATCAATAAGGGACAGGAAGGCCCGGTAAGAAAGAATATTGACTAAAATAATGATAAATAAAAATATGATCAAATCCGACTAGACCATCATAATGTGCTTCAAAAGGAGATAAGTTTAGCATTTTAAACTTTTAAGATATCTTGAGAAATAACTAATCTAGGGCAAATCAAAATCTTTATGTTTTACAGATTCATCAAAATTGTTATAAATTTTAAAGTTATCTAGCTCACGTATTTATGGAGATATTTATAAAATTCCAAATTCAAATGTTATTCATTTTTTGAGTAGATCTTAATGACATAATCAGATCTTGACTTTAAATTAATTTTTGCAAAATCATGACCTTCAGGGCTGCCCTGTCCTTTATTGATAAATTTACCAGGGAAATCCCGATATACGGGTTCGATCATTTTTTATGCTCTTTCCAACGATATGTCGCTTGTCTTTCTAGGACTTATAGTTTTTGCTGTACATAAAAGCTACCTGTGCGGAGCTACAGGTGCTCCAATCTAGTAGTCTCTTCGGGAGAATACATATGACTAAAAACCATAGTTGAGGTTCAAAAATATATTCAATATCTCTATCCATTGCTGAATAAATCGTACCTCGCAAAACTTTGTGCGATACCTAATAGTTAACCCAGGTTATGTTAAACATGAATTTAATTACTTCACTAAACTCTCGACAATATCATTGATTTTCTCAATACTATTCTCCGATTGGATTCTCATTGAAGCCTTTTTGCACTTTTGAGCCATAGTTTGATCATTTAATACACTATTGATTGCATCCAATAATTGTTGTTCAGAGCACCGGAAGGGGTCGAGTCTGACCCCAAACCCCATTTCCTGTACTCTCTGTGCGTTATCGAACTGATCGAAAAATAGGGGCAAAACTATCATTGGTTTCCCGAAATACATGCTTTCGGTGAGAGTGTTGTTCCCGCCGTGGGTTACGATTAGGTCAACCATTGGCAACACTTTGATCTGCGGGACAGACCTCTCGCCCCACATATTGTCGGCCAACGAGAACTTGTCGTGAAACACACCCTTCGATACAATGAACCGGTGCTCGGATTTCGACATAATTGAGACCAACCTCTTCATGAGGTCCACGTTAGCGCTGCCCATAGAGCCCAACGACAGGTAAACCAACTTTCCCGACCTATTCCTCAACGGCTCCGGTATGTCAAACGTACGCTCATCACTACCGGTGCGCTTAAAACAGTCAAACCCGTAGTAATTGTCCGGTAGTTTCCTAATGTCTGTATAGTCTAGTTCTTTGGGAGTCATATAAAAGTTGGCATAAGGGGACGGTATCCACATCTGGTACTTCCGTGGTGTGGGACACCCTTTCGAGACCAACCAATCCCTGTATTCATACCACACTTTAGCCTTCGCTTCATTGAGTTGTTTGCGATATTGTTGCCACAATTTTGGGTCACTATTTATAGCCAAACCTTAAATGAAAACATAATTAAAACTAATTAACAATTATTACGAAACAACTCATACCTAAGACAGAGGGAGGCAGGTCTTGACACTCAATGGTAAAGTCGAGTGATAGGGGACTATTACTCCAACTGTATACCCAGGGTATGCCTGATGTGATAATAGCCGGCACAGCGACCATGTGATCGGATATAATAACATCGGGTCTGACGGACTGTATGATAGCTCGAAGGTATGGATCCTTTCTCTCCTCATTCCTTATATCCTCTGTCAGACTGTTGATCACAATTAAGGCCTTCTCTAAGGGGGTCTTCGGGTCCAGTATTCCGTGACCTTTGGCCGACTCGGCGTTCCTGTCCATTGAGTCCATCACAGGTTTGTCACCACTTGTGTCCCCCTCCTCCCCCATTACTCGCACCTCAAACCCCATTGACTCGAGCCGTGCCCTCCAATCGCTATTCACAGCAAATATACACCGGTGTCCGCCATCCCGGAGCACTTCTGCCATTCCAATCGACGAATTAACTGCGCCCACATAATGTATGGGTGCGAACAGCACTGTTATGTTCTTGCTCATTTTTCACTAATTAATATAATCAATATTACTGCGCTTTAGTCTAACAAACGAGTCTAAATAGCTTTTACTTTTTGAACGACAATTTGTTCAATTAGTTGTAACCGATACTATAGCTTAGAGTACAGTAAATGTGAACACTACCGCATAATCTTATAATAATGTAATCAACAATTATCCTAAAGTTTTGTTCTGCCATTCCAATCGACGACATAACTGAGCCGACATAATGTATGGGTGCGAACAGCACTGTTATGTTCTTGCTCATTTTTCACTAATTAATATAATGAATATTACTGCGCTTTAGTCTAACGCGCGATCTAAATAACTTTTACTTTTTGAACGACAATTTGTTCAATTAGTTGTAACCGATACTATAGCTTAGAGTACAGTAAATGTGAACACTACCGCATAATCTTATAATAATGTAATCAACAATTATCCTAAAGTTTTGTGATAAATAATGTCACACATTAGCGGTGCATACAATTTGTGATTAATACGAGACATAAAAATCAATCATAATGTGTGTCCTTTCAAATGTTATCAAATCATTTAGATAACGTAATCTTACTAGTTCATTTGATATTTTATTTTATAAATAGAGTTTTTATGTTCAAACGAGTGCACAATTTCGATAAAATCATATTTTATCAAGTTAATAGATTATTTTTAAGAATTATGAATATTGCAAATATAAGTAATATTTATTGCAATTTATCTGCCGCTCCGTCGCTGTCCTCATCCTCTTCGGGATCCCTTTCCTCTAAATGGTGTCCCGTTTTGTGTGAATAGTATTGTTTCGCCATTTGTTTCAATCTAATAGTCATGTGTTTTCCCGTTTGTGTCACTAATTTAGTAAAAAATCCATCGCTTGATTGCAACAAAATGTATGGCATTTCGTATTCAATCACTTCTCCCGCATCTAAAACCTGATCCACGAATGAGACAAATATTACACAAATGATTAGACATGACATCCCATCCCAACCCCAAACACTTGCCATGACTTTGTCCGCATCGATGATAGTGTGGAGTCTGTGGGCAATCGTAATGACCGTACAATTAGTGAACTTTTCTCTGATAGTGGTCTGAATGAGAGCATCGGTTCTGTGGTCGACATTAGCCGTCGCCTCATCCAAGACTA